CAAGAGTCACATGGCCTACCAACTGAGCCAGCCAGGCACCCCAAGTCTAAGTTTTTGGGTTTTATTTTAAGTTTTTGTATTTATTTAGGTAATCTTCTACACCCAATGTGGGGCTTGAACTCACAACCCCGAGATCAAGAGTCATATACTCTTCCAACTGAGCCAGCCAACAAGCACCCCTCCCCCAGTCTAAGCCTTTTTTTAGAATTTCTTTTTAATGTTTATTTTTGTGAGAGAGAGAGAGACGGTGGGAATGAGCAGGGGAGAGGCAGACAGGGAGGGAGACAGAGGATCTGAAGCAGGTTCTGCGCTGACAGCAGCAAGACCAATGTGGGGCTCCAACTCATGAACCGTGAGATGATGACCTGAGCTGAAGTTGGACACTCAACCAACTTAGGCACCCAGGTGCCTCCCTCCTCCAGTTTAAGTCTTTTTAAAAGAGAATCCTAATGGCAATCTCTTAAATAAACACCTTCAAAAAATATAACTTCAAAGTTAAATTTTAAAAGCTTTTCTCTTTATCAGGAATGCTCTCAGATGTGATATCCCACCCCAGTGGGTTCCACACCCCTTGTGTAGTACCTTGAAGGTTTGGGGTCCTAGTGAGTGACTGGTAATGGCAGTAGAGGGTTTCTTAACCCCTCTGAGCCTCCAAGGATCGCTTTGGAAAAAGGAGACATTTCACTTCTGTTCCAGTCTTTTATCTTCACTTCCCTCGAAAATGTCTCCACTTCTCCACCTGTCATCATCCTTCTGTCCTCAAATCCTTCTCCCGGTCCACCACTGTCCATTTCAGTCTCCCCAAACCAAAGATTTAGGGGGACTCCCCCATCTGTGATATGCCAATAAGTCTTAGCACATCTTCTTACAAAGAAATCACGCTAGTTGGCCTCACCCTTACTTTGGATCCTCCAAACCCAGCCCCCCTCATTGTTTCACACTTGGATGAAGATTTGAGAAGTATCCCCACCTCTCAGGCCCTTCGCCCCAACACGCACATGCACTCATACACTCACCTCTGTCTGCTCAGGGTCTAGTCACACTTTCTCAAATAGTGCCTTTTATCACTGGCACAGCTATGGTCCTAGCTGAATCTATTTATGCTGGACTCTGAATCTTTGCCCATGCTGATGGGATTTAGCAGGCTCAAAACAGCTCAAAATACATCTCACATGAAGACACCTCCAATGATGCTAGACCCTTACAGATCGCACTTTCCTCCTGGAGCCAATGCTCACAAAGTAGTCCTCCACTCCCACTCTGCTCCCCTGTCCAGCTGCAAACTTCTCTATCTCCACCAGCCACAACCACAGTATATTCTGCTCTTGCATGCTTCTAGGGGCCAGGAAAACCCTCTACACACTTACAACTTTGTTTGCTACCACCACTAGTCCCTGCCTTGCACAAGGAGGTCTTCAAAAGTCAGAATAAAGAGACTTGTGACACTCTCTTGAATTCTGTGGAAGAAGATACTACATGAATCCAAGTATTTTATTATGGTGAGTTCACGTCTCTTTGTTTTTTTTTTTTTT